GCCCGATGGAAAATAAATGAAACAGTGCTGTATGCAAGGCGTTTCCATATGCAGAGTAAATGTTGTGATCCTAAAATACATGATGTAAATATCATGGGCGGTAGGATGCTGTGGACGTTGCCCAGTCAGGTGCACATAACAAGTCTCATGTGGCAAAACCATGGAGACACAATTCTTCAGAGACTTCCTCCTAGTGGCAGAAGCCCGAGTATTTCCCTCTAATAAAAACAGCTTGGCCTTTCTGAGATTTCTCACCACTCACTGAACTCTGCTGTAATTCACAGACATTTACACTGACTCATAATGTATTGTTCCTCTCAATGTCTTTCATTTTCTTCCAGTCCATGGCACGCTCCAGACGCAATGGAAAGATCCTATGTCTGTGTCTCTTGCCTTGTGTGATGGTAAGTCACCTGTTGGTGTACATCATGGTGACCATTTTTGTAGCCATATCCTACTCCCCTCCTCTACCGCAGCTGCCCCTCCATTTCATTGCCACCGGAGCCTCTGCAAACTCGGGAGCTCTTGCATCCCATCCAGTTCGGCCCTTCTGGAATCTCAGACTAGAGGACGGGGCACTATGGAACCGCCTCCAGCACATTTGGGACAGAGAGCACAACCCCATATTGAGAGTTAATGGCACGAGGTCCAAAGGTCCAAGCCTTGATGTGATACATCTGCAAGAGACGGGAAAAACTAGTGCCTGTGAACAAGATGAGGCTTGGGCGTATCACCTGCCTGACTTCAGCACCCTTCCTGATCAAATGAAGGATTTTGTCCTCTCCATGCACTGCAGGCATTACGCTATCCTTATGGACCAGCCCAACCTGTGTGCCGGGCAGGATTCTAAAACACCGTTCCTTCTGATGGCAATCAAGTCACAAGTCGGCAACTTTGAGAACAGGCAGGCCATCCGAGAGACATGGGGAAGGAGAGATCGAGTCCGAGGGGACGGTGGAGGCAGAAGCTGGTTCGTACGCACCATCTTCTTGCTTGCGAGGCAGGACACAGAGACAGGGCCTCATCCAGACCTAAGCTCCTTATTGAAGTTGGAGAGCAGCACCCATAGGGACATCCTCCTGTGGGACTTCAAAGACACTTTCTTCAACCTCACCCTAAAGGATGTCCTTTTCTGGGACTGGCTTTCAAAGCACTGTTCTCATGTCCACTTCATTTTCAAGGGAGATGATGATGTGTTTGTTAGGACTAAGGCTCTGCTAGACTACTTAAACCATGTTCGAGTACAAAAGGCGCATGGAAATAAAACGAAAGAACGGGACAATTTTGTTGTGGGGGATGTTATTGCCAATGCTTGGCCCAATCGGCAACCTGATACTAAATATTACATACCCGAAAGCTTCTATAAAGGAGCGTATCCGGCCTACGCAGGAGGTGGAGGGGTGGTTTACACTGGTGCTTTGGCCTTACGTCTGCGGGAGGTCTCTCCTTGGGTCAGCTTGTTTCCTATTGATGATGTTTACTTAGGAATGTGCCTTCACAGGCTCGGGGTGTCCCCCACTCATCATCCCGGTTTTCTTACCTTTGACCTTCCAGAGGACCTGCGGGAGAAGTCGTGTGCATATCATAATGTTCTCCTAGTCCATAAACGCACCCCAAAAGAAATGTTAACCCTGTGGAAGGAGCTACATGTTCCTCCTCAGGAGTGCTAGTGTACACTTGTTCATGAACTCAAAGTAAGGTAAAGGATGCCAGGGGACCTGGACTGAAAGTCATTTTCATTTTTACCACAAGGTATTTTGCCATGTTAATTTGCATAAAGGCCTTAATTTTTCTGTGATGTTGGGCTGTGCTCAGGGTTATGTGTGCAGTGGTTATTATAAGGAGATCAAATTGGGATAGCAAGACAGTAGACAAGCTAAAAAATAGCATGCAACATGGTTGACTTGATAGGGTTCTTGGTATAATGGTTCTGGTTCTATGGGAATATGCATGTGAAAGAATATCTAGTGGACAATTGTAGAGTCTCATGATGTTGTTGTTGTTGTTTTAAGGGATTTAAAAGTTTGTGTTCCAAATACCAGGAGTTATCTCATAATGGAGTGAATCAAAAAATTGTCATCAACATAATTCAGCATTGTATTAATAAGCTCCTGGTTCAAAAAATAAAAGCTTTACTGTTCTACCTGAAGCGTTTGAGAGAGTTTGTAGAACTTCCTGTTATTGCACACAATATTTTTACACTTGGAATGGTACATGCTTTTTTTGCTCTGTGTCATTGCCACATGTGTCATTTTCTCTCGTTAGCATAATAATTGCAGATGTGAAAACGGCTGGACAAAAAATGATTCAAGAGTATCTGGATTTCATTTTGGAGATCGTGGTGTACAAGTGCTTCTCAGCAAAATTATCTGGATGCCGCAAAACCCCATAGACATTGTCATCTGATTTTGGCCTTGTGGGCATAATTATAGCCTGGTGTTGTTGGTGGCTTAATCTGAATTACAACAACAAAACATAATGAAAAATAATGAATGACAGTAATGAACAATGTATGATTAATTTGATCACTTATACAACTGAATTAAATAACTTATTATTTAAATGTTTGTGCATTAATCTGTTTCATGAGATTTAATGTTAACAGCAGTTTATGAACTCAGAGTTTCATTGTTTCACTTATTTTAATCTCTGTTTTCATTTGCATCTCTGTCAGTCTGTTTACTATTAATAGTGGAAATATTTGGACTTTTATTTTCACTTCACTTTCGTCCTCCAAATTTATGTCAGTAATCATGCCAAATGAAGCTTGTATTTTCTTAATTATGTTATGCAAAATCAGATTTTGAAATTAAAGCTGTTAACCACTCTTACTTCAACTGGTGGTGTTTTTAATTTCACCAAAGCAAAAAAAAAAAAAAAATTGGATTGCTTACAATCTTAATATTAGGGCTGCACGATTATGACAAAAATCATAATTGTCGATTATGCCCTTGAAATTGTAATTGCGATTATTAATTACGATTATCACAATTTACATTGAATGATGTTTATACCATTGTTTGATGCAACTGCATGACGGATTTTTATATGAAAATAAACTGCTGAAAACACTCTGACTGAAAAACCTTTAGTGCTTTTCTATAGTATTAAGCCTCAAATGTCAAATAGGCTATATCGGATTGGTTTCTTCTTTAAATTATAAAAAAAAAGTATAAAAATATGAATGGTATTATAATGTTATACTAAAACTAAAACAATGGAAAAACCCTTAAGATAACTTGTAGAAAGAAAAAAACATATCTAAAGCTTGCAGAATAACATAAGCCTTTAAACGATTACGTAACTGTGGCATTCATAATTGTAATCGTGATTAGAAATTTGATTCATTGTGCAGCCCAACTTAATATATAATCATATAATATCATATAATATTACACTTACAGCAGTTATATAATTTGTTTGAATTACAGTTTTAATTGTACCTCTTTGCATAGCCTCCAAATTATGATGCAGCCTTTAGCAACACTGTAAAACAAATTTTAAAAAATTAAGTTGATCTTTAGAGATTTTAAGTTTTTAGAAGTTAAGTTTTTTTTCTGTATAAATTTTTTATTATAAATGTTCATATCGCCTTCTTTGGAACATATCTGTTTTCCAGAAAAGGGTTGTATGTTTGTTTTGTATCTTTCTAGGGAGTTTCTCTTCACCTCAGCTGATATTTTCTATAAAGTTATTTATTGCTATTTAAGAATATTAATTGTGGAAAAAAAAGTGCTATACAAAAATATTTGAACTGAACTGAAAATGTTTCTAACTTCACATTCATACATCTAACATTTATAAAAAAAATATTTTCCAGGTACGATTTTACAAATATTTTACAATGACAATATAAAAGCCAGTAATTAATTTAGCAAACTAATACATTTAAATCACCCAAAAATGAAAATTAGCCTGTGTTTTACTCACCCTCGAAGCATCCTAGGTGTATGTGACTTTCTTCTTTCAGATGAATCCAATCGGAGTTATATTAAAAATTGTCCTGGCCCCTCCAAGCCTTACAATGGGGGTAAGCGGGTGTTTGTTGTCAACAGTTCAGAAGACGTGAAATAAAGTGTGCACATCCGTAATAAAAAGTTCCTCACACGGCTCTGGGGGGTGAATAAAGGCCTCCTGTAGCGAATCCATATGTTTTTGTAAGATAAATATCCATATTTCAAACGTAATAAACACTTTTCTCTCACTTCCGCTGACTGCCAAACGTGGAAGACGTTCAGGTGGATGACGTAAGACGTATGCGTCGTGCACGCGCCTCTAAGAAATTCAGGAACAAAGGAAAACCAGTCTGCTCTTGGCTTATATCGAAATCCTCCAACATTTTTCTTTACAAAATTCTCGTTTTGTGCTTCTAATTCACGAATTTTGAATTTTGAATGCTCTCTCTCCGCGTTCGTCACTAATCACGCAACGCCGACGTCCTTCGTCATCCGCCGGAAAGCCTTCCGCGTATGACAGATGGCGGAAGTGAGAGAAAAGTGTTTATTACATTTGAAATATGGATATTTTTCTTACGAAAACGCATGGATTTGCTACAGGAGGCCTTTATTCACCCCCACGAGCCGTGTGAGGGACGTTTTATTACAGATGTGCGCACTTTATTTCACGTCTTCTGAACTGTTGACAACCAACACCCGCTTACCCCCATTGAAAGGTTTGGAGGGGCCTGGACAATTTTTAATATAACTCCGATTGGACTCGTCTGAAAAAAGAAAGTCACATACACCTAGGATGCTTCGAGAGTGAGTAAAACACAGGCTAATTTACTTTTTTGGGTGAACTAACCCTTCAACAACATGGAACATAAAAGCCAGTTATTTATTTTGTTAAATAATACTTTTAACAACATGGTGTTATAAAAAAAAAAACGTTTCTTACAATATTATTCTCATACAGTATCAATGAGCTTTATAAATGAGGATAGCTGTCTTTCTTAGAGATTAACGCCCTCCAAACCAGTAGGTGGCGCGCCCGCTTTGTCTATTTAACCCGGAAGTTGTCAGTGCGTACTGCGTTCATCAAACGATTGTGTTGTTGCAGTAGTACTAGACGTGTTTTGTTAGTATTTACATTTTATCTGCCCACATCATTACAATATAATGCTTTACTAACAACGCGCATAATGTAAGTTAGCTTATGGCGTCTTTGTACTGTTGATATTATTTAAATATTTACCGGTTCTCCGTGTTATAATCCACTGAAGTGCGTTAGGTAGCACTAAGACACATATCGCACATTTAGTCCGCAAACAGACCCGATATGGGTTCATCAAAGAAACACAAAGAGAAGGAGAAAGACCGGGATCCAGAGGACCGGCACCGTGAGCACAAGAAACACCGTCACAAGGATCGAGACAAGGAGAAGGACCGCGAGCGAGAGAAGAGAAAGAGATCCCGCTCCAGAGAGAGGGGCAGCCGGGGAGCAGAGAAAGACAGGAGCGGTAAAGCAGAGAGGAGCAATGCGGAGCCGCGAGTCAAGAAGGAGAAGCCTGATCCTGCTTTCGAGGACAAAAGCGGTCAGTCATCCTGTCCACAAACTTCAGGAGTTACTAGAACTGTGTTGACTTGCTGTTCTGCACCACTGTTATCAACATATACTTTGAAATGGCAGAAATATTATGAAAGTGTGTTAAACTCCCTGAAGGAGATCCCAGAATACTATTACATACGATACTTTGATGGAAACTATTACTGCAGCAAATTATGTAAGGAATTGTGACTGCATTTCTTAACCTGTCTAGGTAGGCAGCTGATTGAGTTTTGAGACAGCCTTTATCTTATTGAGACGTAGCCAGTCATACGTCTCATTGTCCCACTTGAAGTAATCTCAATGGCTTTGATAGAAGTCTTTGAGTTGGATGGTGCTCATGTGTGTCAACATCTTATTTTGCAGAGCCAGGTCCCAAATCTGCCAGTGGTGATGCTTCACTCAGCATCGAAGAGACCAAGTATGTTTTATAGCATACTGTTATTTGTAATGGGTAAAATATAAGTATAATATATTTTGCTAAATGCTATTGCTTTTTGTTTTGCAGTAAACTGAGGGCCAAACTAGGTTTGAAACCCCTTGAACTCAATGTAAACAAGAAAGGTAAGAATCTGATGGTCATGCTACATCAAAGTGCTATTTACCATTATACACTACCATTCAAAAGTTTGAAGTCAGTAAAAAAAAAAAAAAACTATATATATAATGCTTTTATTCAGCAAGGGTACATTAAATTATGACAATTGTAATTAAAAAGTGACAGTTAAGGCAGTAAATCCTGAAAAAAATTTATCACATTTTCCAAAAATGAAAGAAAGAAGGGAAAAAAATGAAGCAGCACATCGGTTTTCAACATTGATAATAACAAGACATGTTTCCTGAACACAAAATCAGCATATTAGAATGATTTCTGAAGGACCGTGAGACACTTAAGGCATGAGTAATGTCTGCTGAAATTTCAGCTTTGCCGTCACAGGAATAAATTACATTTTAAAGTATATTCAAATAGAAGACAGGGCAACACTGTATGTTAAGGTGTCCTTGTTATACCAATTAATTCTTTGAAAATCCTACAATGTGATTTTCTGGATTTTTTTTCTCATTTTGTCTCTCATAGTTGAGGTATACCTATGATGAAAATTACAGGCCTCTCTCATCTTTTTAAGTGGGAGAACTTGCACAATTGGTGGCTGACTAAATACTTTTTTGCCCCACTGTAGTTAATCAATATCCCATGAAGAGTGCTGTTTTTCTCTCTCAAAAAATCAGCATGATTACAAATGATTTTTTACAACAGTTCAATAAACAAGAAGTTAATTAATAGACTTACGTTTTAGACACCATATTGCCTGTTTTTGCTCAATTTCGCCAACAAAAATAAATCCAAACACAGCCACAGCACTGTTTTGCGTCTGTGAGCAACATGGTGTTTAGTTCCTGAATGATTCAACCTTTAAATGATTCGGTTCAATTGTAACTTATAAAGGTAAAAAATGCCCATAAAAGATAAAAATCTATTTAAACTTTTTGGAAAAGATTAATCTGCTACATGACAATAGGCTACATCAGCTGGCCTGGAATACTTCAAACCGAAGCTGTTTTTGTTTTATTTGCTGCTAAGAAGATCCCAGAAGATGAGTCAAGTATAGCTCCATCATTGTTCAGAGAAAAATTTTTTCATTTAAAAAAAATTGTAAAAATCAAGGAAATTTCTCTGGCGTTTCTTTCTTTTTGCTGTATCGAAAACGTACCGAACCATGACACCTCTGTATCGTATTGAACCGAACCGTGAATTTTGCAAACTGTTACACCCCTAATATATATATACAGTGGGGCAAATAAGTATTTGATACACTGCCGATTTTTCAAGTTTTCCCACTTACAAAGAATGGAGAGATCTGTAATTTTCATCGTAGGTACACCTCAACTGTGAGAGACAGAATCTAAAAAATAAAAATCCAGAAAATCACATTGTATGATTTTTAAATAATTAATTTCAATTTTATTGCATGAAATAAGTATTTGATACAATAGAAAAATAGAACTTAATATTTGGTACAGAAACCTTTGTTTACAATTACAGAGGTCAGACGTTTCCTGTAGTTCTTGACTAGGTTTGCACACACTGCAGCAGGGATTTTGGCCCACTCCTCCATACAGGTGTTCTCCAGATCTTTCAGGTTTTGGGGCTGTCGCTGGGCAACACGGAGGGAGCTGAAACTCCATAGATTTTCTATTGGGTTCAGGTCTGGAGACTGGCTAGGCCACTCCAGGACCTTGAAATGCTTCTTACGGAGCCACGACCCATCTTCAATGCTCTTACTGAGGGAAGGCCCCATCCATCCTCCCCTCAATACGGTGCAGTCGTCCTGTCCCCTTTGCAGAAAAGCACCTCCAAAGCATGATGTTTCCACCCCCATGCTTCACGGTTGGGATGGTGTTCTTGGGATTATACTCATTCTTCTTCTTCCTCCAAACACGGCGAGTGGAGTTTATACCAAAAACTTCTATTTTGGTCTCATCTGACCACATGACCTTCTCCCATGCCTCCTCTGGATCATCCAGATGGTCTTTGGCAAACTTCAGACGGGCCTGGACATGTGCTGGCTTGACCAGGGGGACCTGGCGCACACTGCAGGATTTTAATCCATGACGGTGTAGTGTGCTACTAATGGTAACCATTGAGACGGTGGTCCCAGCTCTCTTCAGGTCATTGACCAGGTCCTCCCGTGTAGTTTTAGGCTGATTCCTCATTTTTTTTTTTTTTAGATTTTTTTCTCCCCAGTTGAGGGGTTCCTACGATGACAATTAAAGATCCTTGAGATGCTGAACATGTCATATACAGTGGGGCAAAAAAGTATTTAGTCAGCCACCAATTGTGCAAGTTCTCCCACTTAAAAAGATGAGAGAGGCCTGTAATTTTCATCATAGGTATACCTCAACTATGAGAGACCAAATGAGAAAAAAAAATCCAGAAAATCACATTGTAGGATTTTTAAAGAATTAATTGGTAAATTCCTCGGTAAAATAAGTATTTGGTCACCTACAAACAAGCAAGAGTTCTGGCTCTCACAGACCTGTAACTTCTTCTTTAAGAGGCTCCTCTGTCCTCCACTCGTTACCTGTATTAATGGCATCTGTTTGAACTCGTTATCAGTATAAAAGACACCTGTCCACAACCTCAAACAGTCACACTCCAAAAACTCCACCATGGCAAAGACCAAAGAGCTGTCAAAGGACACCAGAAACAAAATTGTAAACCTGCACCAGGCTGGGAAGACTGAATCTGCAATAGGTAAGCAACTTGGTGTGAAGAAATCAACTGTGGGAGCAATTATTAGAAAAACGAAGGCATACAAGACCACTGATAATCTCCCTCGATCGGGGGCTCCACGCAAGATCTCACCCCATGGGGTCAAAATGATCACAAGAACTGGGAGCAAAAATCCCAGAACCACACGGAGGGACCTAGTGAATGACCTGCAGAGAGCTGGGACCAAAGTAACAAAGGCTACCATCAGTAACACACTGCGCCGCCAGGGACTCAAATCCTGCAGTGCCAGACGTGTCCCCCTGCTTAAGCCAGTACATGTCCAGGCCCGTCTGAAGTTTGCTAGAGAGCATTTGGATGATCCAGAAGAGGATTGGGAGAATGTCATATGGTCAGATGAAACCAAAATAGAACTCTTTGGTAAAAACTCAACTTGTCGTGTTTGGAGGAGAAAGAATGCGGAGTTGCATCCAAAGAACACCATACCTACTGTGAAGCATGGGGGTGGAAACATCATGCTTTGGGGCTGTTTTTCTGCAAAGGGACCAGGACAACTGATCCGTGTAAACGAAAAAATGAATGGGGCCATGTATCGTGAGATTTTGAGTGAAAACCTCCTTCCATCAGCAAGGGCATTGAAGATGAAACATGGCTGGATCTTTCAGCATGACAATGATCCCAAACACACCACCCGGGCAACGAAGGAGTGGCTTCGTAAGAAGCATTTCAAGGCCCTGGAGTGGCCTAGCCAGTCTCCAGATCTCAACCCCATAGAAAATCTTTGGAGGGAGTTAAAAATCCGTGTTGCCCAGCGACAGCCCCAAAACATTACTGCTCTAGAGGAGATCTGCATGGAGGAATGGGCCAAAATACCAGCAACAGTGTGTGAAAACCTTGTGAAGACTTACAGAAAACATTTGACCTCTGTCATTGCCAACAAAGAGTATATAACAAAGTATTGAGATGAAATTGTTATTGACAATATACTTATTTTCCACCATAATTTGCAAATAAATTATTTAAAAATCCTACAATGTGATTTTCTGGAATTTTTTTTCTCATTTTGTCTCTCATAGTTGAGGTATACCAATGATGAAAATTACAGGCCTCTCTCATCTTTTTAAGTGGGAGAACTTGCACAATTGGTGGCTGACTAAATACTTTTTTTCCCCACTGTATAGAGATGGATTACAAAT